GGCTTGATGTGTGATGACCTACTTGGCATCTATAACAGGAAACCATGTAGTGTTGAAGTTTCTCAGATTCCCTGGTCCATGAATTATTTCAAGGCAATTAAGTCCCCTTTAGCTGAGACATAACCCGGTTTTGTTTGGTGGCTTTAAAATTATAAAACATGCTGTTTTTTTTTGTTAATGTATCTGTTTTTGAACTTGGTGGTTTGATGTAGTGTTTGGTGTGACTCAGTCTAAATTAATTTTAGAAATATTTTTTTATAGGAGAGCTATTGAAATTGTAGAGTCGGATGTCAAAAGCCAGACTATCCTCAAACCACTGTCTGAATGTAAGTAGTTTATCTCCTTCCCATCTTCCTTTATAATTAGAAGCTTAACTTTTCTTAGGAAAGAGGGAGAAAGATGAACATAGTTAAATCCACACTCACCCATTTTTGTGTGTGTGCCTGTGTTTTTGGTCAATTTTATCTACTTTATTTCAATCTTGCCTGCCAGTACTATAGTCCATCCATTACTGGAAATGAGTTCCCCAGGGTGTTACATAAATGGCTGGGACAGAGTAAGTTTTCTTTCCAAGCTCTAGGAATGAAAACTGTAGACAATAAGGTTGGATCAGCTTCTCTTTGGGTGTTTATATTGAGTGCACTTCAGGTCTCCGTACGGGTGAAAGCAAAGCCTGGTAAATAGGAGAGAGTCAGACAGTGAAAGAATTGAGTTCAATGTGCCATGTCTCAAGACTTTAAACAATGCTAGGAGGGTCAAGGTATGAAGATGATATTGCTACAGTAAACTATGGGCTGTTAGAAAAACAACATTTAATTTTCCTTTCCCTCAGCCTTGTTCTCTTAGTTATCCCAGATGTAAAATGGCCATGAACTACATACTTATCTTGTCAGTGTTTAATATCCAGCGTTAATCTTTAGAAACAGGACAGTCTGATTTGATTGTTTCTTCCTTAACTCCTGCAGTGGTTGAGAGTTATTAAAATTGTTTCTAGCACTGTAGTTTCACAGAACACACTTTGTTTTTTTCATCAACTTATTGAAAGAAAATTAATAAAAATATTTCACATGAACAGACATTTCTCCAAAGAAGATATAAGTATGGCCAATAGACACATGAAAACATGTTCATCATCACTAATCATCAGGAAAGTGCAAATCAAAACTACACTAAGATATCACCTTACACCCATTAGATTGGCAAAAATATCCAAAACCAAGAGTGACAAATGTTGGAGAGGTTGTGGAGAAAAAGGAACCCTCATACACTGTTGGTGGGAATGCAAACTCGTGCAGCCACTATGGAAAACAATATGGAGATTCCTCAAAAAGTTAAAAATAGAAATACCCTATGACCCAGCCATCCCACTACTGGGTATCTATCCTAAGAACCTGAAATCAGCAATCCCAAGAGTCCCCTGCACCCCTATGTTCATTGCAGCATTATTTACAATAGCCAAGACGTGGAACCAACCTAAATGCCCAGAAACTGATGACTGGATAAAGAAGATATGGTATATATACACAATGGAATACTACTTAGCCATAAAAAAGGACCAGATTGTTCCATTCGCATCAACATGGATGGACCTTGAGGGTATTATGTTAAGCGAAATAAGCCAGACAGAGAAAGACGAACTCTATATGACTCCACTTATAGGTGGAAGTTAACATATAGACAAGGAGAACTGATCGGTGGTTACCAGGGAAAAGGAGGAGTAGGGGAGGGCACAAAGGGTGAAGTGGTGTACCCACAAAATGACTAACAATAATGTACAAATGAAATCTCACAAGGTTGTAATCTATCATAATCTTAATAAAAAATAAATAAATAAAAATTTTTCAGAAGTAGCCGCACTTAGTGCTTAGGCTGATGGTAGGTAATATATGCCAATGCATAGATTAGATACTGGTTTCTCTTCAACTTTTCAGATTATTCCCTTTTTTCCCCGTCCCAATAACATTTAGGCTTGTCAGTGGTCCCTGTGAGCACCACTGGCACACATAGCTGAAAGAGGCTTTAAGTTCCGGCCATAAATTACTAGACAGAACCTAATTTTTGTCATTTGATCTCTGGTATTTGTGATTAGCTTTTAATGGCTCTAGAAAGCTATAGGGAGACTGACTTCAGCTAAATATAAGAAGACCCTTTCAGGGGCTGGCCCCGTGGCCGAGTGGTTAAGTTCGCGCGCTCCGCTGCAGGCGGCCCAGTGTTTCGTCGGTTCGAATCCTGGGCGCGGACACGGCACTGCTCGTCAGACCACGCTGAGGCGGCGTCCCACATGCCACAACTAGAGGAACCCACAACGAAGAATACACAACTATGTACCGGGGGGCTTTGGGGAGAAAAAGGAAAAAATAAAATCTTTAAAAATAAAAAAAAAAAAAAGAAGACCCTTTCAATAAATAGCACTAACTGGGCTTCTTTGACACACAGTGACTTCTCCAGCACTGAAGACATTCAAACAAAAGCTGGATAGATGACCATTTGGTTGGGATTGTTTTAGAGGAGATTCAGCCATTGGGTAGGGAGCAAGAACAGACCTCTACATTCCTTCCAACTTTAAGACTCTGCTACTTGATCAGTGATCTCTAGTTTCTCCACTTTTAGTCCTCTGCAGCATCCTGTTTGTGGTAATGAAATAGAAGCAAATTGTTGTGGGGCTAATGCACGTGGTCTCAGGAAGTAACTTTAGGCAAAGGTTGTTTCAGAGCAAATCCCTCCTCTGTCTTGCAATTCATGCATCTCCAAACAATGAGTCCATAGTCCTGTGCGGCTGTTGGCAGCTTCCCAACCTCCGGCCTCTGGGATGGTACTATCTGCTAAGATATCCAATGACATTTTCTCAAGTGTTGCTCTACTGTAGATCAGCTTGGACAAGTGAACGAAAGCTCAAAGGTCATTTGGGGAGGCTGTCTAGAGGACTTACGTAGGATTGACTTGCCTGTCCACATTTAGCCACTCATTTGATTCAAAATATTGGGTAATTTTTCCAACTTTTTTTTCCTTTCTTAATTACCAAGCATGGTTGTCTTTGCTTCAAGATTCTGTTCTTTTTTACCTTTGAGATATGAGGAACTTCCAAGGCAGAACTCAGTTCTCTGTCTGGTTCTTTCTTGACGTGGATTTTGACTCTTTGACATTAAGTTGCATTCTATAGGACAGACTAGTTCACCATTCTGCCAGAAAAAGGATAACCCTGCTTTACAAGTTATCCACATTATTTGGGCATCTTTCTGAGGATAGCATTTTCTCTCATCCTTAGTTTCTGTTAGAGAGTTGGAACCTCTGCTTTGGTGCGACATGACTGCACTTGAATTTCCTTCAGCTAAAACTTCGTATCACCTGTCTCAGTACACACAATATCTTAAAATCTAATTAAGCTTGATTTATTTACTTTATAGGTAAATCACCCTCTGAGTCACTGGTTCCCAAGCAAGTTGGTCTTATTCACATATCCCAAGTCATTTCAGAAGTTGATGGTAACAGAATGACTTTGAGCCGAGAAGGAGCACAAGATTCCTTCCCTCTTCAGCAGAAGATCTTGGTCTGCTCTTTGTTGCTCTTGACCAGGCAGTTGAAGATTAAGGAGGTCACTCTGGGGAAGGTTAGTTGGGAATCTTAGCAGATGGAGCTGGGGTGGAGATGAGAATCTGCTTTGCAGAGCAGATATTTTCCAAAAGGTCTGTCAAGCTCCAGATGATATGAATTAAAAATGGATTTTAACAGTAAGAATAAATACTGGTACCATATAAAAGGCAGCTGACTCTATTTCCCTTGGGTTGTGGTTGAGAATTTACCATTAATCTTCTCCCCTTCATTTCTGCCTCTCCCTGTGAAATATATAAAGCCCCTTTCCTGCATTACAGTTTAGGGTTTTGGCAATATCTACAGAATGCCTGTTCAAGGATTTTATTGAAAAGAGGGAGAATTAGAGTATTCAGATATCTTTTTTGCAAACCCAAACTCACATTTTAAAAGAGATTATAAGGTGACAAGCGATATGACTTTTAAGCAACATTTGTTCTCCCTTGTTTCCTCAGTTATATGAAGCCTATAGCAACGTCTGTCGCAAACAGCAGGTGGCAGCTGTGGACCAGTCAGAGTGTTTATCACTTTCAGGGCTCTTGGAGGCCAGGGGCATTTTAGGATTAAAGAAAAACAAGGAAACCCGCTTCACAAAGGTACAACTAACTGCTTCTTTGTGACATTGCTTTTAATTGTCGTGTTTTGGAGAGCTTATCTTTTGCTAAAGATTTAAAAATGACCACAATTGATTTGTTTTTTGTTAGGTAGGATTTAAGATCTGTGAGGACGGGACTGCAGTATGAATGAGATATTTTTTGCAGGCCATTGAAAAAGCAGTGTTTAGCCTCTTGTAACAAAAGTTTAACATGGTAGAAGTTTATGTAATAAAAACTTTGCTTTTGTGAGTTCTCTACCGTGAAAAGTCCTCTTCTCTTCTTTCCAGGTGTCTTTGAAGATTGAAGAGAAGGAAATAGAGCGTGCTCTGAAAGACAAAGCTTTAATTGGAAATATCTTAGCTATTGGATTGCCTTAAATTCTTTTATACTAATGCCCCATTTGAAAGCATCCAGCTGGCATTTAGAAAGCTGTGGAGTCTTCATTTTAGTGCTTTATACACTCAGGTCTGAAAACAAATATGATCTTTTTTACATGAAACTGGTAAATTTTAATCTATAGATTCATGAATATTAGCACAGCATAATATGTTTGGGTCTTATTATTTTTATGCATTAAAAATTACTGAGTAGACCCTTTTTAATTACATTCACTACTTCTACCACTTCAGTGTCGCTAACCAATATGCTTGTAAGTATACAGATTATTTTGTACAATGTGCATATGTTTACCTCTTAGTTTCCTCAAACACTGGTGTATTTTAAAGAAGTTTGGGGCTAGAGTAAGAAGAATGAAAAAGGATGACAGGAAAATAAGCAAGTCCACATGGAGATTTGGAGGACACTTTGGTCAAAGAATTTCTTTCTTTTTGGAGTATACTGTGTTCATGTTTCACTTACTTCCACATTGTGACATTTTAAAGACTACTTCAGTTTCTTGGGTACTCCCAAAGTTGTGGGGGTGATAAGGAGAATGTAATTCTTCAGATTGTGAATATATTTATTTTTAAGTTGTGTTCTTTGTCTTTTTAAGCAATCGCATTTCAAGAGAGCTCAGACTTTTAAAAGGCAATGTGAAAATTCCTCCCCAAACTGTCCCACAGTCTTAGCTGCCCTAGATGAAACCACTTGTTTCAAGACACCTTAGTTTGGGGTTGGATTTTCATCTAAACCTCATATTGTTCCAATCTTAATAGATAAATCAATCCATATGGTTACTCAAGTCCCCTTTTCTGGGTTTGGTTTCCAGTGGCATTAAATGGCAATTACTGATGGGGACACCAGAGGGCACTGAGTGCCTTGAAAGCACAAACATGGGGCTGGGGTAGTCTTGAGGAAAGGGAAAAAAAGCTTAAGTTTGATTTGTTTGGGAGATTGCTGTACTTTTATAACTCAAACAAATGCTTGGAATGTAAACTATGTGTGATTTGAATGGTCTGAGAGCCAGTGACCAAGTCTGTGCTTCTCCCTGAGCTCTTCTGACTCCTGTCTTTCTGATATGGACTTGAGTTTGGGAACTTGATACATGTACAAATGATCTGTTGGCCACTGTTTCATTCATGCTGCCCACTGTATCCTTGCAATGTGATCTGGGCTACAGCAGGTGGTGTGGGATAGAAGGGCACACAGAGCCCTCTGAAATGAAAACTACCCACTGGTGTGTGTAGCTGAGCATAGTCTGTAGACAGGAGTCTGAATGTCATTCTCACCCTCACAATCCTTTATTAGAGCATTCATTCCCTCTCTTGGCTATGGAGAGAGGGTAATGTGTGAGTGGAGAACACAGTTCTATACCTAGAAGCTTGGAAAGTGTCCGGGGCTATAAGGGTTAACAAGCATAATTGCAAAGATTGTCCGAAGGCTGATGGAAAGCAGAGACTGAATGGGATTGAGAACAGATGCAAGGCTTGATTTAAATTACATTTTATTGGATGCTGCAGCCTTAAGAGACGTGACTGCTTTACAGTTTGTTTCCACACTGTGGGCAGCTGCTGTCTGTTCTGTGTCCACAGTAGGATCCTGCCCAAAAAGGAGCGGCCTCCCCACCTCGTTGTGTTTGAGGCTTGGCGCCTTCCTCTTAACTGTAGGGTTTGAGTCAGGAACATGGCTTGACTCGCAATGGGCCTGCTATGTATCCTCCATGGCTCTGAGCCAAGATCACATTTGCAGATTCAAAGGGGCCAAATCTCTTTCCCCTCTACCTCCTTTCTCTCTCTTTCCCCTGGTATTTGGAAATAGGGTTTTCTGTGTACTGGTTTGTCAGTTTCCTTTCCTTCAGTTCTCCCCCCACTGTCAATTTCTAGGTCATTGCTGCTCTTAAGACTTCAGCAATTGGAACAGGGTTGGTTCTGTCAATGATGCGTGAAGCAGACTTAGAGTCCCTGCTTGGCTTCCGCTGCCCTTGTGGGAGCAAAAGCTGATGTATGTTTGTCAGTGAAGTCTTAAGTGTAATTCAAACAGCCGGGGAGCAGATTGAAAGGAGGAAGAAAGTCCTTTTCTTGCTGGCTTTTTCTTACTGAAGCTGAGAGCTATGGGAAGGTGGTGGGATTTTTAGTGGGATGGGATGGGCTTGTGGTTACTAGTTTTTGCCAAGATCATAGGCTGTTTCACATAGAGTAGTGGCAAAGATGCTGACCTACATTCTTCCTCTTGAAAGTGGTGGGGTGTGTGTCTGTATCCTGGCTTATTTATTTTTCTTCAAAGAAGCCTCCATAGAGTCTTGGTGGGTATTGCTATGGAAAGAACATAGACACAATAAAATTGGTGTGATTTTCAACCCCAGAGCTGCCACTGACATTTCTGGCTCAATGAAGACTTGCCTGTGGCTAGATAACTGGCAAGAGTGTGTGAGGTCCAAGCTACCCAGAGATCAAAAAAAGTTGGCAGAGCTCTGTTCTCTCTTCCCCTCGTTGCTCCCTGCTTTTATTAAGTGCCCTTTTAAGATACACCAGTAAGAATTGGGAAGTAGGAATGAGATACAACTTGGAGATCTTTAAAAATATCTTTTGAAAGCTGTTACCTTGACTACTGAGGAAGACCAGGAGAGAACCTGGACTGAGGTTTCTTTTTTTTTTTTTTTTTTTTGAGGAAGATTAGCCCTGAGCTAACTACTGCCAATCCTCTTTTTGCTGAGGAAGACTGGCCCTGAGCTAACATCCATGCCTGTCTTCCTCTACTTTATATGTGGGACGCCTACCACAGCATGGCTTTTGCCAGGCGGTGCCATGTGCAGACCCAGGATCCGAACCAGCAAACCCCCGGCTGCTGAGAAGCAGAACACATAAACTTAACGGCTGTGCCACCAGGCCAGCCCCTAGACTGAGATTTTATTTACATTTCTATCTGTCCCCAGCACTTAGTAGAGTGCCCCTGGTACCTGGTAGGTACTCAATAAGCAATTGTTGAATGAACTAATAAATGAACCAAGATGTTGCCTTTCCCTCCGTCTTGAGGACAGTTCTGATCTGGGGTAGACATGGCTGATGCTTTTGCACTGAGGTGGAGCAGGCCCCTGTAAAAGAAGCGTGCTCTGTCTTATAAAATGTGGAGCATTTATTGGCCTCACAGATGCGTTCCAATCGCTCCCTCTGATGTAGTGGTATTTTGCTTCAGGCAACTTCCATGTTGCTACCAGGAAGCCTTGGCTATGGAGAGAGAGACCTACCTGCTGGGAAGAGGGGTGCCTGTCTGGGTGTTACCTATGTCCCTAGAGATTGGCCAGGAGCTGTGCCTGTAGTTGGCAAGGGATTAAGGAGGAACCCACCTTTGATGTCCCACATTTTCACTTTTGGGGAAAGTTCTGATCTCAGGTTCCTCCTAAAAAGATAAGGAAGGTGCCCTCTAAGACATTCTCTTCTAAGCTACCAACAGGGTAGGTCTCCCTCTTCTCAGAAGAGGTACATTCTGTAGGGGAGAAGGCGTGCCCTCTGGCCTCCCCTTCATTTTCAACCCCAGCCCCAAGGCACTGGCAGTAGAAGCTAATTGGGTGCAAGGGGCCTGGGTAAAGGCTGTCTGAAGACTGGCGAAAGGAGAGAGCCAGCTCCTTTTTTAAAAAGCTCTAATTGAGTTCTGAATCAGCCTCGCTCCCTTTGATCCCTCCTCTGTTTCCCACACCGCCTGAAAGAGCTAGATCAGCACTTCATAACAAGGGTGCGCCTACTCCCCACACCCGCCCCCCCTCTTGACGCTCTGCTGCCGCCATCCACCGCTTGTCTCCTTCAGTTAAGATAATGAAGATGCTGAGAGATAAAATGTGTATTTAATAAGGGCGGGGGTAGGGAGGTGGAAAGGGGCAGCCAGGGCCTTCCCTAGTTTGGGGCCTAGCCAAGACTCAAGCTGAAAGCAAAGCTAGAGTAAGACTTGGCCCCAGAGTGTGGGGGTTTCTGGGCCTCAATCCAGCTGACTTCACTGCCTGCTGTTTGCCCTAAATTCCCCTACCTCCACCCTCTCACCCCCACACTCCTTTCTTTCCTCTCTTCTTGCTCCCAGTGGGAAAAAGGAGACTTACTTCAACTTTATTTTCAGCTGGTAACTTGGACTTTGGTGCAGCGTCCCCCAACCCGGAGTCAGCTGCAAGGTCAGCTAGGGCAGCCCGCTCTGGCCTAGGCCTGTAGAAGCTGTGGGTTCACAGTGGGGGGTGAAAAAAGCTGGAGTTAATGAAGACCAGCTGTTAGTCTGGGTTCTGCCTGCAGTTAGCTGGAGACCAGCCTTTGGTGGTGGTTGGAGGTACCAGGGTGTGTGACCTTCATCCCTGGGCACAAGGATATCCTGTGGCAGCTGAGGATTGTGCTGCTCTGAGTTTGGTTGTATCCTTAGTTTGTAAGAGAGTAGTCTGTTTCCCTCTTGGCTTTCTCTTCCCCTCCCCAAATAACGCTCAGTGCTTATTGAGCTTTATAACTGTAGCGGTGGCCCAGCTGAGATCTGAGGATCTCCAAACTCTTGTAAACATTCATTAGCTGCCTGGGAAGAACCAAGAGCCTGGTGTAACAGCTGGGAGGGAACTGAGGCACATTAGGGTGAAAGGCTTGACCTGAACTCACCCCATGGACTCCACCCTGGGGCCCTCGTCCATACTGTCTAGCTTCTTTCCCCATTTTTCTTGCAAGACAGAGGAGGTGGAGGCAATGCCACTGCCCTCTCCCCTTCTAGGAAGAGGATGTGCTTTCTCCCTTCCCTCAAGACTGTCCCTGGTTTCCCCTGGCCCTTTACCCCATGACGTTTTCCCTGCTCTGCTGCTGTTGGAGATATGTGCAACTCTCCTTGCAAAATGTTCTCAATCTAGCCCTCTGCAGCCTTCCTGTCCACCTTTCCCTGGCCCACCTGGCCCACCAAACCTGAATTCTCCTTTCTGAGTTACTGAGATTAGCTATGCTAAACTGGGTCTGTAATGTTGAAGTTGATCTAAGTGTGTTAAGAGGCCCCTCTGCCCCCTGTATTTATCTCATATGGTACCTAGGAAAACATTTTCTTTAACTTAGTCATTCTGGTAAAGTTTCAGGATCCTATTAGGGGCTGGGTAGGGGCACTAGTTGACCCCTAGATTCTGCATCCTGTTCTTCCACTGACAATTGCCGTTTTTGGTAATGGATGTAGCTCAGTCCCCCAGCCCCACCTGCTCATACTCTCACTGTATATGTATATCTGCACACTAACACTCCCAGATACACACACCTCAGTCTAAGGAGATATAACTTGACCAGTTTCCAACTGCCATCCAAGTCATGCTGCCTTTTTTACTTACTGGAAAGCAAGGTTTTGGAGGGTTTTCCCCCTGGGGTGACCTCCTTGTCATTTAGGAATAGTAGGGAAGGATGAGGAGACTGTGCTACATCTATGAGGGATAGGGAGAAGGAGCACCCATCCAAAATGAACGCCCCCTTCCCCAAATTCTCAGTGGCTAGGTGGCTTAGCTGGAGTGATAGGGGAGGAGATCTTAACCCCATCTCAGCACCAAAGCCCAAATCCATCTGCTTGAGGCAGGCAGGAAGAAATGTCTTTTTTCTCCTGTCCCATGTTATCCTATCCTCAGCTAGAGTCATCCATGTGCTGTGTATCTGAGACTGGGGACTGTTCCTGTCTCCAGCCTATGACTCAGATCCCTGTCTTTCTCCCAGTGAGCCTTTCTCTCCCATCAGTCCTCAGCTCTGCACCCGATGACCCAGTCAGGGCGGGTGGAAGAGGGCGGGGAGAGCCTACTGTTTGATGAGTGGGCTTTAGGACCCAACGGGAACCCGTGCCTCTTGCAGCAGCCTAACCTAGAAGCAGGGGGGAATCCTGAATCGAGCTGAGAGGGCTTCCCCGGATCTCCTGGGAACCCCATCGCCCCCATGCCAGCACTCACCTGAGCAGGTAGGACTACACACACCCCTTCCCAATTCCCCTTCGGCTGCCTTCTGCTGGGCCTCTCTGCTTCTGATCTGGTTATTTCCCTCTCGCCAGTTCAGGCTTTCCCCATCCCTCCTCCCCCACTGCTCACTGTAATCCTGGGAGGTGGGAGCCTGGGAACAGTGGGGTATCTGAAAGCTCAGAGCCCCTGCATCCTCCAGCGTTTTTCCTGCACTTCCCCGGAGGCATTCCCTGTTCTCTGGCTAAGAATAGAAAGTGGGGGGAAGGTCTGTTCAGGCCCCACACCCTTGCACCCTCCTTTTCAGTATTGCCTAATACCCCTTCCCCCATGTCACCTCCACAGGAGAATTGGCAGTGCTGGGGTAACAGTGTAGGGAGCAGGAGAGGGAGCTGAGCCCTTCTGGGGGGTTTCTCTCTTGCTGCCTCTCTGCCTCCCAGCCCCAAGAGCTCAGGACTTCACCTGCCACTCCTTACTCACCTTGTAGGGTAACTACTGTCCCTTTCCAGGCTCATCTGGCACTTGGGTGACCGAAGGCTTTGCTGGAGGGTAGTGGAGGTTGTGAGCGGTTTTTGGTGACCTTTTCCTCTAGGGAAACTTCTTTCAGCTTAGAGCCCCCATCCCTGCCAACACCTCAGGGCCCATAGCAAAGTCCTCCACCCCTACCTGCACCCCCGGACCCCCCTGCTGTGTGTGTGTGTGTGTAGACCATATAGTTGTAAGCTCTATAAGCTTTGGATAGAGGTGGCTACATGCATTGAAGGGGAGAGATCCAGGAGTATGGCCAAGGCCGGAAGAGGCTCAGCCCAGATGGCTGGGGTTGGGGGTGTGGACCAGATCAAGGAGGACACCCAGCTGTGCCAGCTCCCTGGGCTCCTTGACTGTCAGAGCCTCAGCCTCGTGGTGTTACCCTGAAGCTTCTGCCCTCTTGCAGGCTCTCTGGGAGAGGGCTGAATGGCACCTACTGTTTACAGTGGCTTGTTTTTCTCTCCAGAGGGGGGCTGACAGGCCCAGCTCTCTGAAGATCTAGGGCACCTCATTCTGGTTTGGTGGGTTTGTAGGGGGGAGTGTAGGAGTAACTCTGTGTGTGAGTGTGTATATTACCTCTGGGTGTAGCAGACTGCAGAAGGGAGTGATAGAAAAGACAGGTCACACTTTGGGGGAACCCCTCTAGCTCTCTGTATGTTGGGGGTGGGTGCCATGTCCTTATCTGGTAACTGTCTAGGTGAGGGGTTGGTTTTGGAAGAAAGGGTGGATAATGGAGTGACTTTAGACTTAATTCTGCTCTTGACTCAGAGAGAAAAGTAGAGATTCTGAGTGTGAGCAGTGGACTGAGAATCAGATGCCTAAATCTGAGACTCAGTCCTGTCATTTAACTATATGTATTTATACAGGTTTCTAAGCCGCAGTTTCTTCACTTGTAAAAATAGCCATCAGTAACAAGCCCAGCTTGCCTGATAGGGATACTCCCATAAAGACTCCATAAGACAGTGTATCCTAAAGCCCAGTGCAAATGGTAGTTATGACTGGAGTGGTGGGGGGAGGGTTCCAGGATGGGATTCTCTTCCTAAATCTAGGTCAGTCTCTCTGCCTTCAGTTTCCTTCCCCCATCCTTGCCCATCTGGGGGATAGAGGAACCAGGCAGGGCTGTTGCCCCAGGGTTCTGCAGAATTCCCCTAGTGCCGGTTGTAGCTGACGCCAGAGCGCCTGTGGTCAGAGAGGACAGATCGCCCTACCAGGCTGTTCTTCCTCTGGGGGCTCCACACCTTTTCCCCTGAGCCCTGTCTTCACCTTCCTTCTGCCTTTCCTGCTCAGCGTCCTTGTCCCTGTCTCTCCCCTGCCCACTGGCCTCCTTGTCCGGCTCACTGGGCAGGAGCCCTAATCGGATTCGACAGCTGAGATATGTGTGGCGGCTGAGAGCAGGCGGGAGGAAAGCCAGTGGGAGGATGGTAGGAGGGCTACCCTTGGCACTGCCCAGGCCTCCCAGTTACCACCTTGGGCTTGCTGACTCCCAGCGTGGCTTGGCCCTGGGGAAGGGGTGCCAGAGGAAGCTTAGGAATGAAGGGGCTGGGGTCTGAAGATTAGGGGAGAGGGAAACACACCCAGGACCCCAAGACCTCTTGGATATTTGGTGGCCTTAATGTCAGGATCTCTGACTCTGACAGGGAGGAGAGGACAGGAGGTAAGAGCCAGGCTGGCCCCATCCCTCCCATTCCCATGGCCCCACTTTCTTCTCTCTTGTTCAGAAATGTGTTCACTTTCCCCATCCAGCGCCTTTGGCCAGTTCCTCCTTATGGGTCACATCTGGGAGCTGCTCGGGGTACCATGTGTCTGCCTTACTCTGGGCTGTTTCCTCCCCTCCAAGGTATTTCTCTCACTCACTCTCTGGGCTGGGTGCCAGGACTCCTGGGTTTCCTGCCTACCTCATGGTGCAGAGCTGCCCTGCAGGCCTCCAGAAAGTCACTAAGCTGGTTTCCTTCCTCCTGTGTGAGGAGGGCCTTCTCCCAGGGCTGGGAGGTATCAGGAATCTCAGGTGGGATAGGGGTGGGTGCACTGTAGCCCCTGGCACCGTAGCACCCTGACTCCTCCCTCCTAGCCTCTGATTCAGTTTGGGGGCAACACATTCCCAGCCTGGCAGGCATGGCCTGTTCTTGCCTCCAGCCTTCCATCTTTACATGTGGAAGCCAAGATCTTCTGTTATCCTTTTTAGCTTTTTTCCCATGGTATCGAGGGGTGGCTATCGAAACCCCTATGTCTTCCCCCACACATTTTGGGGAACAGGGGATTAGCATAATTGAAGCTGGGGCACTATTTTGTCTTCCCTCCAGCTGGGCCAGGATGAAGGAAACCAGCACAAACTTCCCCACGCCAATTCTCTCTGCCCTCAAAAGACCAGTCAGTGGAGCCAGGCCCTGCCCTCACGGTGCCCACAATGTGGTTGGCACAGATTTGTCAGAAATTGGGAAGGTTTCCCTTTAGACCGCTTGCCTCCTCTCTCCTCCTCTTGCGGGGTAGGGACAGCTCTGTGACTGTAGGCACTTATGGGCAGGCCTCCCCCTAGGGAAGGGGTGTGGGATGCCCCCAAGATGGCCAAGTTGGCACTAGCCCCAGGCTGGAGTGCTGGACATAGTTCTGAGCTGGGAATTTGTGGAGGAGAGCAGGACATGGGCCTCCCTGCCCCCCTCATTTCCTGCTCTTTGGGCAGCTGTGGGCGAGAAAGGCTGCAGGGACTATTTTTAGTTGGTCTGTCCCCTGGCAGAAGGGACGTGCAGAAAAGCACGGGCAGGCAGAGGGGCTGGCCAAGGTGAGGGTAAGCAAGCAGGCAGGGTGTCTTGGGGACCCCTCAGGGCTCTGTCTGTCCAAGTGGACTTAGAACCACAAAGGGCTTGAGAAGTCACATAGACAATCCCTCTTCCTTACAGAGAGGGAAACTAAGGCCTAAAGAGGGGATGTGACTGGCCCTAAGGACTCAGCCAGTTGTTAGCTGCATTGGAACCCCCACCTAGGCCCTTTGCACCATTCTTTCTCGTCAAGCTCCCTCACCACACATGATTGTGCGTCCCTCCCCTAGGGCAGCAAGGAGGACCTCAGCCAGGCACGTCTGGTCGGTTTTCCTCTCTGCTTGTTTGTGCGGAGTCTCCGGTAAACCCCAGCTTGGTGTGTTTATAAGTCTCCACTGTATGGAGAGAGCCTGTGTCCAGGCTGGAGGGAGGTGAGGGTTGGGGTTTGTTTAGGTGGCCTGTGGCCACTGGTGTGAATCGAGGTGCTGGGCGGCTTCCAACAGGCTCACAGGCTGACGAGTAGTGAGGCTTGGAGACAACTTAGAGAAGGGGCATCCGGTCTAACTCCATTTTAGAGATGCACAGATTTGCCCACAGACCCAGAATGAGTTAGGGACAGACTGAGGACTAAGGTTTGCAGACTCTCCAGAGCCCTTTGTGAGCCCCCATCCTGCCATGTGTAGGTCCTCGTGGTTGTTTGCCAATCTCCTCAACAAAGGAAGGGTGCAGGGCTGAAAAGTAGGGAGATTACTACGGGCTTCTAATAACAAGTCAGAAATGAGTTTTCCTCTGATGCCTTGATTGAGGTGCAGGTGGAGAAATTTCGGTGGAGAAGTGTGGTCCCTCTGAATTTGGTCTCCTGTCTCAGCCTCATCCCCAGGGCCACCGTGTTGCACAGCTGCAGGAGGAGCCATTGCATAGACTCTAATGTGAATGGCGCCCCCTGGAGTTGTTCAGGGCCCTGCCTGTGTAGCCAAATGTGGTGCTTCTGTCCCCTACCTTCTTTCTTCAAATCAGCTTCAGATCCAGCTGGAAGGAGGTGTTCCAGAGGAGCCTTAATCCAACACCTACTCCTTGACCCTGCCTCCTGCTACTCAATATCTATTCCTCTGCTGCCCACCCCCTGCCCACCAAGCTGGTCTCAGTGGGCCACAAATTGTGGCGCAGGAGTCCCTCCCCCCCCCCCACTCAGTTTCTCTGTCTCTGGGGGGCTGATTTATCATGTCCCCCCCTCCATCAGACCTGCTGCAGTGTGTGAGAAATCAATAGTGCAAATGGATTGAGGTTATTCAGCCTGTGGACTCCCCTTGGGCCCTATCAACTCTCCTGGGACTTGGGGAGTTATTCAGTCCCCTTACAGCTCCAACATACACAGAGATAGACACACTTAGTGGTTGTAGCCAGAGCACTGAGAACTGGAATTATTCTTTCTGTCCATCTCTGTCTCGATCTCTCTCATTCTGTCTCCCCCTCATATACCGGGCTGGTCTTAGCATGACAAATACTCTTAAACATTTATTTCCTAGCTTGGGTGGAGTGGGGGTGGAGGGGCATAAAGGGCAGGAGGCTGCCAGCCAGAGGTGGGAGGAAAGCAGGTAAGGGAGACTGTGCCCAAGGAGGAGGACTAGCTGGGGAAGGGATTGGGTGACGGCCCACCCCATCGGCCTCTGGTAACTCAATCCCTGTACCCCACCCTCCCGATTCCTCTCCTGCTCAACAACTTCAGCAGCTGCTGGCAGAAGTGTGTATGAGTGTGTGTATGTGTGTGTATGTGGGGGGGTGGTGAGAGGGGCTGTGGGGGCAGGAGGTGCTGCCAGGACATGTTAAAGGAGACTCACAGCCTGGGTACAACTTGGGTGGCAGGAGGAGGTGGGGCTGGTGGGAGAGTGGGTGGTGAGTGACAGGCAGGGGGCAGGCTGCAAGGGAGCAGGGCAGCCCAGGGGTCTCACAAAACTTGTCTGCACTGGAGCAGCGCCTGGTGTGGTGGGAGTGGGCAGTGGTGAGGGGGCAGGGGCAGATACAACCATGGCTCACCCCAGGATGCCTGTTCTTCACCAGGGGGTGTATGTAACCATGGAGGGCACAGCCTGCCCCGTCCCCAATCCCTGGGGTGTGCCTGCTGGGCATCACAGTCTCGGTGACTAAGTCACTTCTGTCCTGGGGCTGGCAAAGTGCCAGGCTCAGCTCTTCTCGGTAGGTGAGTCACTGCCCTGGCATCTCCCCCGGATGCAGCTGAGTCACCCGGCTGTGCCTGCTGGGCAGGTGGGCATCATGCTTAGGGTAGGGTTGGGGGATATGTGTGTAGCCCACAGTACCTTCTCTGATCTTTCTCTGGCATGTGTTGGCCCCACCCATAAACCTGCAGAGCCAGGCAAGGATGGTGTTTTGCTCAATTGCTCTGTTAGGGGGTGAAGGAAGAGGCAGCAGGGTACTGTGTAGAAATATGTTTGATTCCGAGTAAATGGGGGGAGGCGTTGTTGAGGAGCCTGTGGGTTTGAGTCTTAGCTCTGCCACTGACAAGCTGTATGACCTTGGGCAAGGAAATTTCCTTTTTGAGCCTCAGCTTCCTCATCTATGCAATGGACATAGGAGCCCTGCCCCAGATTACCCTTCCGTACTTTGAGAGTCAAATGGGGGTGGGGCCATGAGGGTGCTTGTGGGAGGAGCTCCTTTGGGGATGAGCTGGGAGGCTGTGGAGAAGAGAAGTCAGTTGGGGCTGGTTCTGTTCCAGCAGACATCTCCCACCCCACCCACATCCAGGTGGTCTTGGAGGGGCAATGCTTCCCATCCTCTCTTCAGATTACCAATGATGCTATTCTTCAGGAGTTCCTGGCAGGCTCTGAGAGGGAGGCTTTGTTTTGCTGGAAGTGTGGGCCCTCCTGGGGTGTCTCAGAGCTATTTTGTATCTCCTTTGACTGCTGGGGGCTGTCACTGGCAATGCACCTGTCAGGGTTCTCTTGGTTTTCATCTTGTTTGGAGAGGGATCACTGTCTTGGGAAACCAGCAGCTCAGGCTCCTCCCCAAGCACATCTACTTCTGTGTGCAGGAGGGGAAGGGTAAGCCCCAAGAAGTGTCTTTCCTAAAGAGTGAGGAGCCCCTGGGCCTGTGGCTTTTCCCCCTCCGCTAGTCCTCTGCTGCTTCCTGCACTTTTCTCAACCTCCTGCACGAGGGTCCTTGGAGGATGGGGGATGGGAGCCCTGTTGCAGGCCCAGCACAGCTGCAGTTCAGCTGCTGCTGCAGATTGAAGACTCCTAGCCTCCCACCTGGGGACCTCTCCTGCCTCCTGGAGTCAAGCCTGGGTAGGGCTAGACATTGGACATGCAGTACTGGGTGCCCTTGGCAGGGAGGGAGTACCCTAAAGGTGTGCAGGCTGTGTACTTATACACATGGGTGCCAGTCTTGTATGCATGAGTGACTGACCCCCTGTGGGGAGCAGGTTTGTGGGTGCATGAATTTCTTCCCTCATCCGCACATGGGCCTACTGCTGTGTCTGTTTAGGAGTGTGCCCCACCCTCTGCTTCATGCCCTTGTGCTAGCACAGATGCCTGTCTTGTATGTGCTTGTTCCGTGTGCCCATGGATGTGCATACATCCTGGGCGTGCATGTGGGGGCATACACATGTGTGCTCTGAATGTGCACATGGCTATGCATGTATGGGTTTTCTGGGAGTGCATTTGCACACCTGACTCTCAATGTGCACGAGTGTATCTGACCCCACGTGCTGGCAGGTGTATGTGAAGGCCACCCTTGGTGGGAGGAAGCGTACCTACGTTTATGCACACTTGCATTTTTGTGTCCATGATCCTTCCCCTCTGGCCTCAGCTGGAAGGAAGACTGGTAGAATCTAGGCCAGGAGAAGCCTGTGCAGGCTGGGGGTGGCTGGTGCTGGGTCCCATCTCAGGCTGGTCCCTCCCTAGGGCGCCGTCCCCAGCTGCTGCCTAGGCTCAAGCTGGAAGGCCTTTGGGGTGGGGGTGCTGGAGGGGAAGGGGTTAAGCGTCGGCGTCCACATCTGGGAGCCATTGGCGCATTCCTGCCCGCTGAGCGCATGTTTGCGGATGGATCTGGACGGGACGGGGCGGGAGGGGCTGGGCGGGCGGTTCGCACCGGCAGACGGAAATCCAGACGGGAGCGGGAGACAGCCCAGCCCAGCAGGCGGGAAGGGGCCTGGGTAACCGCTGCTTGGCGCTGCCCAGGCACCTTTCCCCTGCGCCTGACCTCAGGGCAGAGCGTCCCCACCGGGCCTGTCCTACCTTACCAAGGCTAGGGGGCTAAAGCTGGAGAGAGACAATCAGATACCTCAATTCTAGACCCGGCTTTGTAACCACTGCGACCGTGGACAAAACCCAGTGTCCGCTCCCGGTCTGTGTACACTCCTCGTCTCTGGTTCCTCGTCTGTAAAGCGGGGTCGTCGGACCGGTGGGTTTGAGAGCTCTGCCAGCCGGATCAAGCTGAGTCTCCTCACTGGGATGGAGGCCTGGGAGTGTGGCACTTCCCTTTCCAGTGGGAAGTCCTGTGGGGGCACTTGTGGCCACTTCTCTGACCGGGAACGGGGAGGGGAGGTTGTTCTTTAGTGATTCCGCTTTCGCCCCACCCCCACTCCAGTAGACTGCTGGAGGTGGGGACACGATCCTCCCAAACGGAGCAGCAGGCTGGGGGGCTTGGAGAGGGGCTCGTGACTGTGTTGGGGATTGGGGTCTCTGCAGATGGAGAGTGATTCAGATCTGCCCCACTGGAACAAGAACGCAAGCTTTCCAGGCTCCTCCAGCCTGGGCCAGGAGGGAGAAGCTTGAGTCTGAGAGTCCTCTAGCATGGAGGGGTGCTCCTGGGCGCCCCCTACTTGGCTCTTGGAAGATCCAAGAGCCGCTGCCCTTTTGGTGGAAGGGTGCTTGTGGGGCGCTGAAGGGTTTGGTTGGGCCAGAGTTCTTGTGACCCAGTCGAGATGGAGAGGTGTTTGGGGGAAGAGGAGAGGAGGTGTACTTGCGGGAGGTCTACTCTTGCCCTCCTCTTTTGCAGATAAGAAAATTAAGATTGAGAAAAAGGAAGCGACTTATTCAAGGTCACACAGCTCTCGGCTCCAACCGGTCCCTGGAGCAAGATTATAATTATGGGAATCAGGGGCTTGACAGCTAGGGCCGTCCGTAGTCACCGTGTTCACTTCCATACTATGCCGCCGCCTCTCTTGGTTTAGGTGTGAGGGCTGTGTGTGTGATCCATGCCCCCGTGAGTGTGGGTGTGTGTGGTTGGGGGGAAGGGAGTGTGATGCCACACACTGCAGTCCTTTCTTCACCGAGCCCTCTTGCCATTCTTTCCGCATATCTTCACCCGCTCCTGGCTCTGAATCTCTTCTTTTGGGGCAGAGGGAGGGATTCTCCCAGATTCCCACGGTCCTGCCTTCCGTTAGGCGCGGCACCTTTAAGACTCGCCCTTCCCTGGTTCTATAAGGGCGGGGGGGCCGGGGGGCGTGATCCTGTGGGCCCGCCCCTGGATGGTGATTGGTTGTTGGGCGGACGGAGGCGGGCCTGAGGGAGAGGGCCTCCCCACTGCTCGGTACCCTCCGCCCCCCTAGTCTGGGGCTCCGGGTAAAGTTTCAGCCTCCGCACGTGACTCGCCATGGCCGCTGCCTTCGCCCCGCGCCCCTGAGCCGCGGCCCCCCGGACTGCTCCTCTCCCGGGACCCCGCACTTCTGACGGCGAGCGCAGAGGTTAGGCGCAGGGTTAGGGCAGACGCCGTGCCCGCGGGCGCCCCGGACGGATTGCGTCCCCCCACTTCGAGGTAACCTCTCTCCCGGGGATCTTGGAGACCCCCCTGGCTCCCGCAGGCAACGGAGCCCCGTGGCCTGCTGTTGAGGGGAGCGGCGGGCGGGGACCAGGTGCCAGACGGGTTCCGACGGGAACCTGGGGATTCCTGGGCTTCCCAATCCGCCGCCGCCGTGCCCAGGGTGGGGGTGCCCCGTCTATGTGTCTGTCTGCTCCCGTGTCTTCGCGCGCAGCCGTGAGGCGTCTGGGGCGGTCTGCCGCGCGTGTCCCCGGTGCCCGAGCTGTAGCAGAACCGCCGCTGGGAACCCCTGTTCTCTGTCTTTTCTCTTCAAAACCAAGCAAAACAAAAAGACTTTCAAACCTGTTTGGGGAGAGATCGGATGCCCAACGGACCAGCCCCCTCCTTCTTTCTCTCCTGTTATCTGAGACGCCCTGTGGTTTGGGGAGAATCAGCCCGGGGGCCCACCCCCATCAGAGGCAGTCGGCTGGGGGGCGGGGCCCGCTCAGCTGGTGTCCCCCGTGGAGTGAGGGGAGCCGTCAGAATTGGGTGCGGGAGCCAGTGCAGTAGGGGGAGGGATGTCTCTGGGTTTGGTGCTACCATGGGGTTGTGGAAGGTTTTTGGGCTGAGGGGAGGACGGAATAGACTGGTCGTCGTCTTTGCTCTGATGAGGGTGTCTAGGACCTGGTGCCACCCACGAGGCGCAAAAGCTGCTAGCCAGATGTGTATGTTCAGGGGAGTGTTGGATAATTGGCTTGGCTTTGTCCCCTCTCTGGGCACTGCCCTATTGTCAGGCTGCTCCGTGGGAAGGGGGATAGGCCCCCAGTGTACTAGGCTGGGGATGAGGACCAACTCCTGTGGAGATCAAACAAGAAAAGCCTCCAACCTTAGAGGCTTCTCCATGATCCATCCTGTCTTGGATAGGATGCCCAGTGTGCTGGCATGGACGAGTACCCTTGGCCCCTGCCTGGTGCAGGCTCCCTCTTCAGTAACCAGATTGTCCTTTGCCTGCTGGCTGTCTGCACATGTGTGTGTGTACACGTTCAGAGGGACTTGCTCCCTAGAACACTCCCCCACCTCCCCACCCCGTGCGGCTTGCCCCCAACCCTCACTTCTGCTGCTGACCACCATCCCTCCTCCAGTTTCCTGGTTAGGAGATTCAGAGATGTCTCTTGTCCTCTTCCCTGGCTGCAGTCATCATAGGGCAGGGTTGTTCTGGAGAAGTGGTTCAGTAAGGATATCAGGTCCTGCTAGGAAACTGGGGCTCAAGCCCCAAACTCTCCACCAGGGCCTTGTGATTGATGGGGCAGCTGGGCCAGGGAAGCCCCAGGTTGGAGTAGGGTGGCTTGGAGGCTTGGGGTTTCCCCTGTGAGGGGGGAGGTGGGGATGAGTCTGGAGGAAGGAACAAGAGAAAGAGTATTTGGAGCTGGAGGAAGAAGGAGGGTGGTTGCGGAGTCAGGGAGTTTGTGGCTGTGAAGGGTGTTGGTGTATTGGGAGGGGCTAGGACATCACTTCTGCCTGGGAGTCTGGACCATGTCCATCTTGGGACAGAGCCGTCACTAGGGTCAGACTCAAGTAGGCCCTTGGGAGCTGAGGATGTTGGATTTGGAAGGACTTTGAGGGTGTGAGTGAGTGTGGATGAGGTGGTCGCTGTCGGGGTTTCCCCATCAGACTGGTGAGGGCAGTGCACAAGCAGTGGCAGATCTGAGAAGACTCTGGGCTTGGAATAGCTTAATCCTGCCCACCCCCATAGCCTCTAAATCTCTGTCCCTTCAGTCTGACCTTAAATGCCCCTGCTTCCACTCTGGGACACCTCTCTGATCCCCCTCCTACTCCCAACCATGTGGCAGCCTGGCAGGAAGCTAGCTGTGGGCAGCCCCATCTTGATCACCCCCGTGCCTCCCCCGCTGGGCACAGTCACCCACTTGTGCCATGACGTGGTTCCTGCCACCCTGTCTAGTGTGGGGGAGAGGACGTCGTCTGAGTAGCCCTTCAGGTCCATTTTGGGGGTATTGACCCAGACCCCAGTTAATTAGCACCCCTTCCCTTAAATCATTTGGTCTTGGAAGCTGGCTCTGCCCTCTGAGACCTTTCCCGCCTGCTCAGACTCTAGAGTCTTAGGTGGAGTCATCCTTAGAACTGTGTGACATGAGGGTGAGGCCTGCCCCAAAATGTAAACCTCAATGCCTGGTTCCCTGTCCTCTGGGCGGCATGGGCAGGGCAGGGCAGGACTTACTCTGGGCTGGACGGCTGAGTGTGTTTGGGCCTCTGTGGGGTCTATTTAGGAGCACTGTCTGGGATCTGGGGTGATGGGCATCTGGGGAAGGTAATCCTATCCCTGTGACAAATAAACGGGGTACTCCCCACTTGCCCAGCACCTCCCACCCCCATCCCTTTCTGGTGGTGGTGGTTTTGGGAGTGTGGGAAGCTGTCAGGGCCCTTGGCAAGATGACCAGGGTTGTCTTGACTTACTGGGTTTTGGGAAAGGAGTGTGGCAACTGATACCCCCAGCTCCCAGGGCTTTGGCTGCACGTCTTCTCTGACGCCTGCTGTCTTTCCTCCCTCTGTTCCCGTCCTCACCCTCTGGCTGCTGTCTGGAGCCCACCCGGTTTGTAGGGGGATGCAGGGTGGGGGTGAGGGCCAGGATCTCTGTGTGTGTTCAGGGAGTGTTCTGGGGATTGGCAGGATTGGCTGAGGGTGTCTGGGCGGGCATGCGGGGACCAGGCCCAGAGTGTGAGAATGTGTCAGCGTCGGTGTGTCTGTCCCCAGTCTGGCTCGGGTGTGGGTGTCTCTTGCTTCGTCTGGATTTTGCCTCCCGCTCCAGTCCCCGCCCCCCACCAGCTGGGACCGCCCGCTTGCTCTCCCTCTCTCTCCGCAACTGGAGCCTCCCTTGCCTGTTCCTGGAATTTGGAGAGGAGGAGGAGGAAGAGGCAGGCAGACAGACCTCCCACACTCTAGCCCTCCCGCCTGGCATCATGGGGAAATGAAATAGGTGCAGTGGAGCTAAGGTTTCCCTGCCTTCCCCAGACCCTCCAATACACATCGTAGTGTCCAGGGGGCCAGGTCTTACACCCCCCCACCCCGCACCTGGCAGCGATGCCTCCTCCTCCAACCCAACATCGTGTCCACCAGGGCCCCTGCTGGGACCTCCAGGCACCACTCTCAGCCTGGGGAGTGGGTGGGGGATTAGACTGCTGCCAGCCTGGCCAGCACCTGTTGCCAGCCCCCAGCCCTGTAACTGGAGCTGGCCTGGGAGGGGGCTGCAAAATGACAGGTGGAATTTCTGCAACCAGGCAACCCCCTCACCCACTGGATATGCCTTTCTCTTCCTTCTGCGAAACAAGGAAAGCCTGCCCCCCTCCAACTGTCAACCTGATCTCATGGATGATGCCCCTGTCCTGCCTCTGGGGGTAGAGGCGAGGAGATGATAGGCAAGGGGATGGATTTATTGCTCTTTGCCCAGTGACCCCCCCCAACCCCCGTCACTGGTTGCAGAGCCGGGCTGCCCTTGTTCAAGTTTTCTGAGCTCTGCTGCTCTGGCAGGGCTGGGGGACGTGGGGGTGTGTGGCTGGGGGTGGTTCTCTGTTAATGTTTTAATTGCATAAAAACTGGGAGCTCAGCTCCGGGCCAGTGGGGAGTCTGGGTCTGGCTGGCCGCCCGGTTTGGGCTAAATATAGTCTGGGACATCTGCAGAGAAGGGGAGGGGGATGGAGGGAGGTTCCATTCCCCCCACCTCCAGCCAAGGTGCCCTCATCTAGGCGGGCACCTTGGAGCAGGGAGGGGGATTCCTCTGCATAAAAGGCGGGGGAGAGGCGGCGGAGGCTGTGCACAGTTGCGACCTCGCCTGCCTGGAGGCGGTAGACGCCTGAGATGAACCCGGAGGCTCAAGACAGGGCTGGAGTGGGGCACGCCAGGGCTGGATCCAATGGCTCTGCTCCCCTCCCCCCAGGGCTGTCCGAGGTCAGGCAGTCTCGGTGTGTCACTGCGCCTGGTGGTGTGTCACCGTGACCCACTCGCTGTGTGCCTGTGTGTACACACCTACCTTGGAGTGGCTCCCTCCGGGCCCCACCCCAGAGCTTCTGTCCCCTGGGTCCTACCGCAGGTCCCCAGCCCTCCTTCCTTCAGTCCCTCACCCCCAGTGAAACCTTCAGCCCAGGAATCGAGACTTGAGAAGGGGAAGCTGCGGTGGGGAGTTCTCTGATCTCCAGTCACGGCAGGAAGTGGAGGGGAGGGTGACCAACGAGGAGACTGTGAGTGGCAGGCAGGGAGGGAGGGGTTGTCAACCCTGCCACCAACTGTGCACACTGCGCTGGGGAGTGGCCACCCTCCCAGCCCCCCTTCCCTCCAGCTCAAAGTGAGGGAAACTTAGGGGGACAGCTGATTCCCCAGGGGCTGCTAACAATCTTCATCACCCCCCCAACGCTGAAAAAAATGTCTTCCTGTCACGTGGCTGTCACTTCCTGTCCCACTGTGGTTCCCGGGATGTTTGTTGTTGGTTGCCTTGGAGATAGCCGCCGCCGTGGGCACTACCCTGGTTCTTGTGGGGAGGGAGCTGCTCCTCCCCCCAGGCCCACAGTTGGGGGGGGTCTTGGGGGGCCTGTCTAGGGGGCCGTTTCAGGCTGAGTGTGTGTGGTCTCCGATGCCCCAGATCCCCCAGGGCCCCCCAGACTTCTGTCTGTGGGAAGGAGTCACAGCCACCTACGCAGACCCAGCATTGGGGAGACTGTGACCGCGTCTGGCTGTGCTTGACTGTGGCCGACTGTGTGAGTCTGATTGATTGTGCAGACCCTGTCCCCTCTGGCCTGGGTCCTGCTGCCTCGTGAAGATGCCGGTGCCTGGAACCTCTGCTCTCTAGTTCCTTTTACTTTTTGAGCCTTCTCCCATCCTGTGTTCTCATGGAAACTACCTTCCCCAGGGCATTTCTGTGGCTTCTTGGGATCCAGGCTGGAGTAGGGAGGGGCTCGGGACAGGATCCCCAGTTGTGTATGTTTTTGGGGGTGGGAGGGTCGTGGTCTGCAGAGTGTCCTTTCCCGTACACACAGCCTGCACCAGCTTCTCCTTGATCCCGCAGGCCTGTACTTTAAGGGGCAGGCCATAGGACTTTGTGACCCATTTTGCCCACCCCCTTGTGGGCTTCCCTGTTCAGCTGAGGATGGAGAGGGGAAGAGATTGCCCCTAGTTCTAGCCCCAACTGAATAGGCGGGTATGGAGTAGGAAGTTCCTGGGGGGTCGAGGGATGAGGGAGTATGGGGCAGGGCACAGTCTGACTCAGGCCTGGTCTGGGGTCAGAGCCAAAAGGATATCCTGAGGCAGCAGGGGGGCCATTCCCGGCTTCCCTGCAGCCTGGGTCCCCAGGGAGAGATGCTGGGAGGGGGCTGGTAGCACTGTGACCTGCAGACAGTCTGTCTGCCCTAGGATTTAGAATCTGGCAGTCTCAGGGTTGGGGCAGAGCTGAGGGGATGGGGGGATTGCTGTAGACACACACACACACACACATACACACACACACACACACACACACTCACTTGCTCTGTGCTCTGACCCCCCCATTGTGAGGGACTTGTGCTTCCTGCACTGCATGGGGGAGGGGGAGACAGTGGTGAGGGGGCAGCTGCCAAGGTGAGGGTGGGGAAAGCCCCGTGCCAGGCTGGGTATGAGGACGGTGGTTTCCAGGCTGGGGGGTCCCCTTTTGTCTGTGCCCCTTTGGTCCCCCACAAGGACAGAGCTGCCTTTGTATGGTCCACACACTCCTGTGGTCTGGCTGTGGCCTGGGCAGGCTCATCTCTTCCTCTTCCTGTTTTCTTCCTTCCCCGTGGGTTGCTCCCTCTCCTTGCGGCCTGGGCTGCCCCCTGCCCTTTCACCTACTCTCTGCTTGAAAGAAGACTGGGTGGGAGGCTTCAGCTCTGGTTCTGGGTGGGCCCCTTAGCCACCCTGGACTTCAGAGGTCCTGAGCATGTTTCCCACGGGGCTCTGGGTTGCGGTCCTTGGGGGTGCAGGAGTTGGGGGCACTGCCCTGCTTGGCAGAGACCCCTGCTTCCTCCTCCCAGAACCTGGCCTGTCTGGGCTTGGGCTTGTCCAGTTGCCCTTTCTGCCTGGTATTCAGTCACTGCTGAGATTGTGGCATGTGAAGGTCAGGCAGCCCTGCGTAGCTGAAGCAGGACCTTAGGCCAGGTGGGGCACAAGTTCGGGAGACATCAGACCCACTCTTCTGGGACTAGGTGCTGCGCTTGAGACAGTGGGCAGTGGGCAGTGGCAGTATCCAGAGGAAGATGCTCGACTTCAGCCTTCCCCTACCCCCCTGAGGATGTGCTCAGGGCTGACGCATGCTTGGGACAGGTTTTTCAAACAAGCTTAGCTCCAGTGAGGCAGGCCTGGGGTCCTCAGGGCTGGTGGGGAAGAGGCACCTCCATCTGTCCCAGCCTTGCCCACGTGATCCTTCTCAGGCCATCCTGGGGTGGTCCCTTTCAAAGAGAGGTTGGCCTGGCCAGGCTTTCTGCAACCCGGACCCTGGTGAGCAAACGGTAAACTGAGACCAGAGTAGCTGGACTGTGGCCTTGCCGGGGAGGAGCCGGTGAGAACCTTGGCCAGAGGGGCTCCTGGATAAAGGGGAAAAAGGGAGTAGTAGCCATTGCTGCTCCCCAACCCCTGCCTGCAGATCTGAGGAGCGTGGGGGAGGAGAGAGGTTGTGGCTTTGTGTGTGTGTGTGTATATGTGTGTGTTTTCCTGGAAAGTTTATAAATAGTTCCAGCCCACTGTTCTGGTTTGAAATCTGCCCTGTCCTGCCTTGCCCTGCTCTGCCAGCTCCTAGCAGGGGTAGGGGGTCCAAAGGGGCCAGGTCTCTGTTTCTGCCAGGGCTGGAGTCCCCATCCCCACCCCCACCACCCCCCAAGTTGAGCTTGAGCTTTGAGTGTTATTTGCATATGATTCATTGACTGTCTAGAATGCTTAGGAAACCCCCTGTCTCCCCTTCTTTTAAGCTCCCCAATCCCTGTCCCCTCCTCTCAGCCCCCCTGGGACCGCCTGACTTTTCTACCTTGGGAGCCATTGTTTTGGGAGAGCCTGAGGAGTAGAGAGGAGAAAGTAGATGAAGAAGGGGGACTGGGCCAGCTGGGTTTGGGGACCCCTGATTCCTCTCCCCTGAGAATAGGGGAAGAAATGGTCTATTTCTCTTCCCCTCCCCAAATCCAAAGGTTTCCCTTTTTTGGTTTGTGACATGAAAGAAGGGAATTTGGGAAAGGATTGTGGTCGGGCCTCTACCCACACCCCAAATACCCCTCTGCCCACATCCCTCTCTTCAGTCTGGGGGGAAGCAGACCCTGGAAAATGGGTAATTCTCCTGCCCAGCCCTGTGAACAGATGCTAGCCTTGGTTGGGGAATGGGAAGGGAGAGCAGACACACTGCCCAGGGAGGCACTCAGGTGGTGCTCAGAGGTATGGGGGAGGGAGGGGACCCAGTTGCCCAGCACCTCCTCTGTGTCAGGCGCTATACTAGGTGCTTTCCAGGACTTTTATCTCTTAAATCACAGAGCCAGTTGTTGAGGTATGCAGTTCACAGGCGAGTAAACAGATGCTTAGAGAGGTTAAGTGACTTGCCTAAGGTCACCCAGAGTGGCAGAGCTGAGATTTGACCCTTCAAACCTCTGGTTCTTTCTACCATCTTTGTGGCTCAGCCAGCTCTTGCATTTGTCTCTAGGCGTGTGACTCTGGGGGATATAACGAATGGGCAGCTGGGGATGTCTGACACTGGGGAAGGGATCCTGGCACCTTTTTGGGGTGAGGGAGGCCCCAGCGGGCAGGGGTGCATGGTTGCTGGCAGACACTCCAGCCCCCAGCCCTCTTTCTGCTGTGCCGAGGCTGGGCTTAGTGTTGTGGAGGTGTGGGCATGTGGTTTTCTCTCCCTCGAGGGAGGGAACCTGTGGGCAGTGGAGGTGGCGGGCATAGGGTGGAGGTTGGATGTGGGTAGTTTGTTTTCCCTTTCTTTGGTGCTGGTTTCGATTCTCTGACGGTATCGTCTCCACCCCTGGGTACAGGGGGCCTGGGCCCAAGCGTCTGCCCAAGTCTCATGGCTACAGAGGGACCTTCTGAGGCTGGGCCTACACTCTTTGGCCCCGCCTCCATCATCCCTACCCTTGCCCATCCCTGTTCCCTGGCCAGCCTGGCTCTTGGCCCATTTCTGTGACCTTTACCCCCTCTCGCAGCTCAAGGCCCTCCCCAGGGAGCTGAGTAACTTTGCACCAAAGTTTGCAGGCTGAGTTAATGAGGCTCTGATGGGGGTGGGGGAGGCCTTCCAGCCTCTCCCTGGGTGTGTATCTGTAGGGGGTTGAAGTATGGTCCGAGATTTCAAACTCCTCTGGGGCAAAGTTGAGGCATTAAGGTGGCTGCAATTCTCTCTCCTCTGGAGGCAAGGTGGGCTCCAGAGGGTCCAGACTGGTCTGACTGAATCTTCTCCTGACCCCCCAAAAGCTGGGTCAGGGTGCTTGGGGTCTGGAGTGCATGGCTTTCCGGGCTTCAGCCTCCTGGGCCTCACCTCGGGGAGGCAGGCCTCCGTATGGACTTGAATCCACTTCAGTGTTTCTCAGAGGGAGCACCTCTTGGGTGTTTGTGGATCCTATTGTGCGTGTTGAGGGGCCTGCAGGGAGGTGGGTTCAGAGGCCAGCCCGGCTGTGTGAGGGCCAGGGAATGTGCAGTTTGGAGAACTGTGGGCTTGTGATGGTGTCTGTGGGGAGCTGTGTCCTGGGGCCATGCACGCAAGCAAGCCCTGAACCACGCGCTGTGTGGCGGAGCCCAGGTGTGGAGAGATGGTATCTCCAGGTTCCCTCTCCTCACGTGTGTGCCCGCACACACACACAGGCTGGGGCACGCAAGCGTGTTCTTACCCACCCGGACACTTTCCGTAGACCTGTGTCCAGGAGTTTGTGTAAGTGTGTGGTGTGTGTGTGTGTGTGAGGGTCTGATTGTCATGCTGCTGAGGCTCAGCCAACTCCTCCTTCCCTTGCCTAGCTCCCCAGCTTGAGTTCCCATTGTGTGGGGCCCCACAGGGGTGTGGGGGGGCCAGGACGGCAGCTGGCCCGATGGGTGGGGCCCCTGTTCCTCTGACATCAGCCCTCTCAGCCTGGGAGGAGCCTGGGGAGAGAAGGGGGCACCTCGTTCAGAAGTAAGGAGAGAGGCCCTGTGGCTGTCGTAATTAGTAACAGTAAAAATCATGGTCATTAATAAGGTCCAGATTTCCCTCCTGGCAAAGCTGCCCCTCCCTAGCAAGTACCTGTCTCCCACCTCTCCCTCCCTCAGCCTGGCCCAGCTGGGCCCAGAAGTCCTGGCCTCCTCAGAGTGGCCTTGGCAGGAACTCCCCCGTCCCAGGCATTGTCCTCGGCCAAATGCTGGCCATGTCCGCATGCCCTGGACTCCAGGTCTGAGCCTGGAGCCTGGAGCTTGGAACCTAGTCTGGCCTGAGCTTGGGGGAGAAGGGGTTGGAAATGGAGGCAGTTCTTATTTTGGGTCTGTGTTTCTTTTCTTTTCTCTTTCCTTCCTCTCTTCCTTTCTTTCTTCTTCTTTTTTACAGCTTTATTGAGTTGTAATTAATATACCATAAAATTCACCCATTAGAATGTACCATTCAATCGTTTTAGTATATTCACAGAGTTGTGCAACTATCACCACAGTCAATTTTAGAAAATTTTCATCACTCCAAAACAAGCCCCCATACCCATCAGCAGTCACTTCCCATTTCCTTCAAACCCACGCCCCAGCCCCTGGTAACCACAATCTACTTTCTGTCTTTATAGATTTGCCTTTTCTGGATGTTTCATATAAATGGAATCATACAATATGTGGTCTTTTAGAACTAGCATAATGTTTTCAAAGTTTATCCATGTTGTAATGTATGTCAGTATTTCATTCCTTTTTATGGCAGAATAATATTCCATTGCTTGGCTAGACAGCATTTTATTTATCCATTCCTCAGTTGATGGACATTTGGGTCCACTTTTTGGCCATTATGAATAATGCTGGTATGAACATCCATGTACAAGTTTTTGTGTAGACGTGTGTTTTCATATCTGTTGGGTAGATACCTAGGAGTGGCATTGCTGGGTTATATGATTACTTTGTATTTAACCTTTTGAGGAACTGCCTGACTATTTTCCAACGTTGCTATACTATTTTACATTCCCACCAGCAATGTATGAGGGTTCCAGTTTCTCTACATTCTTGCCAACATTTGTTATTATCAGACTTTTTTATTTTTGCTGAGGAAGATTGTGGCTGAGCTAACATCTGTTGCCAATCTTCCTTTTTGCTTGAGGAAGATTGTTGCTGAGCTAACATCTGTGGCAGTGTTCATCTATTTTGTATGTGGGTTGCCACCACAGCATGACTGACAAGTGGTGTAGGTCCACACCTGGGATCCAAACCCATGAACCCAGGCTGCTGAAGCAGAGCACGCTGAACTCAACCACTAGGCCACGGGGCCAGCCCCCTTATCAGACTTTTTGAATACAGCCATCGTAGTGGATGTGAAGTGGTATCTCATTGTGGTTTTGATTGGCTGTGTTTCTTTTTGTCTGTTTCTCTTCTTTTGTTTTTCTTATAGATATATGTGTCATATATATTAGTACAAACATATCCATATATAAACACGTGCATATGTACTTATGTCTGTATAAACTCCTGTAGCCCGAGTGGACGTGAAGCATCCTCTTGTGGATCTGCTTCTCTTTTTCCGTCTCTTTATTCTTGTTGCTGCCTGTCTGTCTCACTGTGTCGTGGGATCTCCGGGTTCATCTCTGTCTCTCTCTATCCCAGGGTGTTATCTGTCCGTGTCCTCTGGTCCCAGCTGTTCAAACAGGGTGTGGATCTGTGTACCCACCGGTGGGGGTGCACCTGGCCTTTCATCTTCAGCCCACCTCCCACCCCCTCCAGGGATGTGGCTTCTGCAGACAGGGTGTGTGGGTGAACTCTGAGATCAGTCTCCCTCACCCCTTCATTGCCTGGGAGTAGGGGGCTTCCGGCCGGGGCAGTCCCTGCCCTCCTGACACACTGCCTGCCCTCAGCCCATCGTGCTGTTGGGCATTGGAGGTGATACCTAGGAGTCCTTGGTTCCCATTTCCCTATTTGTCTGTAGGTCAATGGGCCTCCTCCCTGGGCCTGTGGGACAAACCCATCTGGGGTGCTGGGGCTTGATTTGGGGGGGGAAGTGGTGTGAGAAGGGCCCCCTGGCTTAGGAGTCATTTTTCTGAGAAGTACCAATGCTTTAGGGAAGCAGCTTTTCCTCCCCCCCTCCCCTCAAGCACACATTCTCCGCTCTTGACCTCAGGTAACCCTCACTGGGGGAAGGACGGCCAGCTGCCTGCCTCTGCTGCAGGGATCCTCTGGGGTGGCACCCTGGACCCTTGCCCCTCAGGATTGTGGGTGAGAGACCCTCCATGGCTCTGGCCTCTGTCTCCGTCTCCCTAGCCTGGCTGTGCTATCCTGCTACCCCCAGCAGTGTCTGGGCCCTGCTCCCAGGCTGTCTCTGCCAGCCAGGCATGGTGCCAGCTGTCTGCTCAGCCGGGTGCCACAGGAAAATCTCCGGCCGCCCAGGTTGGGGAGCTCCATGGGGAATGCCCGTGTGCCTGCTCCTCAGTGCCCACTCACCTGTCTTTCCTCTTTCTGCAGCATCACAGGACATGGCCCCCCCAGCCGCCTAGCCGGGGCCCACCTAGGAGAGGCATCCTTTTCGGCGTCCTGAAGGCCAGCTCTGGACCTTCCCAGGAAAGTGCCAGCTCACAGAACTGCTTGACCAAAGGATCGGCTCTTGGGACATCCCCCAACCCACCCGGCCCCCAGCTAGAGTGGGGGCTCCAGAAGGCGGAGATTAGCCTGCTGGCCTTGGACAGCAGCTCCAGGACAGAAGGGGGGGTGGGCTGACCACCCAAACCCCCTCTGGGCCCAGGCCCCATGCTCCGAGGAGGGGCGGCCTGAAGCCCGCCAGAGCCCTCTGCCAGACTGTCTGCTTGCCCTTCTGACTGTGGCTGCTTGGCATGGCCAGCAACAGCAGCTCCTGCCCAACACCTGGGGGAGGGCACCTCAATGGGTACCCGGTGCCCCCCTATGCCTTCTTCTTCCCCCCTATGCTGGGTGGACTCTCCCCGCCAGGCGCTCTGACCACTCTCCAGCACCAGCTTCCAGTTAGCGGCTATAGCACGCCATCCCCAGCCAGTAAGTGGGGTGGTGGGAGGTTTGGTGGGTGGGGGCTGTGGAGGGCGGCAGGCCTCAGGGCTTGGCTTCTGGGCACACCTGTTTCGCTGTAGTGTTGAGGTGTTCTCCAGAAGTGGGGGACCATCATGTGGGGGGCTCAAGGATGAGAGGCCATGGCTTATAGGCAGATCACAGTGGTTGTGTTTGATGTTGGGGGTGGCAGAGGGAGAGATGAAACAGTGCTGTTACACAGTGCCCTCGGGCCCTCTCCTGTGCTCTGCTGTTGAGGGCCTTATAAATAGCTCCAGGGACTGGACACAGAGGTCAGAGGCGGGTAAACAAACCTCTCGACATTTGGTGGAAATGGCAGCTCTACGGAGAGTGGCCCCCCACCTCCAGCCCACCCCCTCCAGTGCGTCTGAGGGAAAGAGCTTGAAGGAGTAGACAGGGGCAGGCCAGCTGGAACCCCCCCTCTTCCTGCCAGCTCCACCCTGGCCATGCTAGGTTGTGCTTCCCTTTGTGGGGAGGGTGAGAAGGAGGGACCCATGGGTAGCCTGGTGGATAGGGCGAGTGTCCCAGGAGGGGGCGCTCAGCCCGGACTCTGGCTGTGGACGCATTCATGCTCTTGGCAGGGCCTGTGTTTTCTGTCTGCCTCCGCCCTCTGCCACAGGGGTCGCCTGTTGGCTGCGCGGGGGTCTCAGTACCCTTCCTTGGCTGGCCGAGCCAGGTAGTGGGAGGTGGTGGCGGCTATGGCCAGCTGGCAGAGTCCAGGCCTTGGGCCTGCCAGGCCGCTTACAGTAACTCTGGCCCCCAGGGCCCAGCTGGGCGCCAGGCCAGGGCTGGGGGGAGGAGAGAGCAGAGGCCTGGCCTGGGTGGGAGGGGGTGGAAGCAGCAGAACGGGCTGGCTGGCTGGTCAGCTGCTGACCTGGGAAACGTGTCCCACCTCTCCTAGCGGGCATGGACTGAACACCCTGCCCTGGGCACCCATCGTCCCTCCCATGACCACTGGCAAGCTGCCTGGCACCACTGCCCTGTGCGCCTGGCTCGACTGGGTCAGTGCCCCCTTCTCAGTGTGGGGGCAGTGCACTCTCCCTGGAGCCAGGGAGTCTCTTTGTCCCTGGGGCAGGCCCTGGCTGGGTGCCTCACTGCCCGCACTGGCTGTCTGCCCACCGCCACCACTGCTTCCTGGATCGCCTCCTGTGGCTCCGCGGTGGCCCCCTCCTTCCCAGGCCCCATCAGCCGCTGGGAGCAGGGGCTCTATGTCTGTACTCCTTTAGGCCCCGTCCTTTATGCCCTGGGGCCAGAGGGTAGACAGATACTGCCTCAGTTCCCACTGACACCCCTTCTTACACCTCTACCTTCTGTTCCCACGCCGTCTTCTGTCCTCCTTACATAGGAGTGTGAGGTGGACAGCATAGTGACCTGGGAGTTGGGGAACCCCGATTCTAGTCCAATCTTCCAGGCTGTGCTAGGTGATGGGGGAGGCCAGTCTCTGGGTTCAAGGTTGCTAGGGAATGGGTGGGTGTGTCCGTGCTTCCTAATATCTGTGGAGTGGTTACTGCGTCTACAGGGACTGGGGGTCATATCCTCAGCTTGGGTAACTGGAACATCTGCTTCCTACCAGGGTGGGATTTTTAGGGAGGGAGAAGTCAGAGGCCCGTAACCTGGTGCCTGTGGACAACTTATTCTTGCCCAGGTGATGGGAACGGAGACGTAGAAAATCTGCCCACCTGGGCCTCGACTCATAGAGGTTTGGAGGGGCCTGGCGCCTGTCCTTGCCCTGTCCTGTGCCAGATGAGTGAATACTTTGCCCTCCTCTGAATGTTGCAAGCTTCTTCCTCTTTCTTAGAGGTGGGTGGGGAGGGCTTCCGGGTCCCCCGCTTCCCACCCTGGTAACCTTCTCCCCCTAGGGTGGGGTGCCCACATTTCAGGCAAGTGGAGCCTTCTCTGGCTTTCTCCACCCAGGTTAGGCAATGCCCCTTCCTGCGCCCTCCCTCTGTGAGCCTGTGGGTTTCCCTGCCCCTCCTCCTTCCTAGTAAACAATAACAATTTCTCTTCCTACTCAGACCCCCGGCTTCTGAGCCTCTCCTTGACCTTCCCCTTCTCTGGGACCAGAGGTGTGGCTGCGGCCTGAGGGAGCCAGGTATCTCCCTCCTTCTCGTGCACGGCTGAGGGGCCTGGTGACCCAAGCTCTCAGCTCCGTGTAGTGAAGCATGACAGATCAGAATTCACACTCAGAGATAGAGGCAGCTTCACCTTCCCTGCTCCCTTCGCCTTAGTCTGGTGTTGGGGGTCAGGCAGTTCCCGGAAGAGGTCGACATCGGTGGCCCCCATTCCTGCAGGGAGCAACGATATGCTCTGGTCCTCTGCCACCTTTTTTGTAGGAAACCTCGCTGATAAGGCTCCCTCCTCCTACTTCCCACTTCCCACCAACAAAGGCGTTCAGATGGCCCCCCTCACCCTCCCATCCCTGTCTTAAGTTGGAAGGAGGCTGGACTTTGGATATCTTAAGTGTACCTTTCAGAGACCCTGGAACGACAGAAATATTCTCCAGGTCACTGTGGGGAGGGGTGGGTATTTGTCCTGCTATAGTCTCTCAGGGAGCCAGAGTGGGAGGCCCCAGAGATGGTACTGGATCCCCCACCCCCAAACAGGCCCCTGGGGCTTGGTCTCTGAGGACTGCTGTTTACTGTGGAGGGTTGAGATTCTGTGTGCATTGTGGGGAGGGTCAGGGTTGTGTGTGTTTTGGGAGGGGGGGTCAGGGTTGTGTGTGTGTTGGAAAGGGGGTTAATGGCTTGTGTGTATTTGGTGAGAGGGTCAGAGAGTTGAGTGTCTTGGGAGAATCAAATCTGGAGTCAGGGAGGGGGGTGTCAGTTAGTTTGTGTGCTGGAGGGGGCAGTGACTTAGGGCACAGAGTGTTTAAAGGGAGGGGTTTGGGGAGGGGAGGATCACTGGTCTAGGCTGGAGGGGAAAGTAACCTGCCTTTTTGGTTGCTCACCCTGGGAACTCCAAGGGCGGCTGTGGAGTAGGCAGTGTACCTTGGGTTCTGGCTTTGCCACTTACTGCGTGCAGTACCCTCTCTGAGCATATTTCCTCATCGGTAAAGCAGGGATATTACCAGAACCTCCCTCAAAGGGCTGAGATTAGGCAAGACATCAACGTAATGTGCTCAGCTCTGCGACTTGCATGTGATCATCGCTGTGTCACTGCTGCGGAACTGGCTATTACGACACTGAAGAGGGACCCAGGCCCTTTCTAGGTCAGAGTTGGAAAGAAGGGGATGCTAACATCTGTGGAGTACCTAATGTGTGCCCGGATCTATTTTACCAATCTTAATCCCTGCAATCCTGGGTGGGGCATTATCCTCATTTACACATGAGGGAACAGCACTGGTGGATGTTAAGTGACTGGGTTAAGTATAAAGCTGGGCTATTTTCCACCATCCAGATAGGCAGCTGTGGGAGGGTCTGTGGGGAGCACTCCTGGGTGCGAGGAGCCTTGGGAGCTGTCAGTGCCAATGCTGAAACCCCCTTCTCCATGGCTGAGGCCCTGCTTCTCCTTTAGGACCTCCTCCTTGCCCCAGTAGGTGCATAGGGAAGCCACCCCCCGCCCCCTCCCCGCCCAATTCCCCCTCTTCTCTGTTTTGGATCCTGAAGACTGGAGGGAGAGTGATAAGAGGCCTGGGCCATATCTCCATCCTGTCCTGGAAGCTGGGGAAACAGTCTGTTCACACCCATCCCCACCCCCGAATCTGCCCACTGCTGCCAGGGGAGTTTGCAGAGCTCAGCGGGCACCCTCCCCGCATCTTCAGACAGACACTGTAGGAACAGAGTGTAAAAGCCATAGTTCTTATTCTTACTTTGTTTCAATGTGTGGGGTGGGGGCAGGAAAGTTGGAAGCAATCAGTAGAGGAGCCGGGGATAGGAGCCCCAAAAGACTGGCTCCAGGCTTTTCCTTTCCGTCCACATAATTGCTGTGTGTGGGGAATGGGCCTAGGGTCTGGGAAGCCTGTGGAGACAGAGCTGGGGGTGTACCTTTCTCTTCTCCTCTGCCACTCCTTCCCCTTGGTAGTCTGTGTCTTCCCTCCCTCCTGCCCACTCCTTCCCTGGACTATAGGAGGGACAGCCTAGGGGAAGGGGGTGCTGCTAGCAGTGCCTTTCCTGAATGTAAAATGCAGAGTCAGCCAGAAGACTTTAGTATGGGGTTTTGATGAAAATGGGGCCCCCTCACCTTTTATCTCATAGCATTGATAATGCTCAGTGCCCCTCAGGCAGGATCCCAGGATGGGCTGGGGGAGAGGAAGGAAGGAAGCCTGTCCTCTTAGGTTGGCCAGGACCTGACACATTGTGTCCACCCCATGCCAGGGGCCGTGTGCCCATGGGGATGTGCCAGTGCAGGCCCTGACGACTCTTTAGGGGTTTAGCATCTGTGGAAAGAGGAAGTGTTTCCCTTTTCCAAATTACTTCGGGGCGGTGCCCACACCGCCTTCCTCCTCCTCTCCCTCCATGGAGTCCGGGCACAGCCAGTGAAGCTGGGTCTCCACGGTAGACTGGAGGCCCTCAGCCCTGGCTAGATCAGAAATAGAGGCCTTCCCCTCCCTGTTTTACATCTGGGTTGCCAGGAACCTCAGCCAGCCCTCAGACTAAGGCCCCCCGTGGGCAGAAGTCTTAAAAGGACAGCTCTTCCTGTGTGGCCTTCAGCAGGTCACCCAACCTCTGAGTCTGTTTCCTCTTCTTTAAAGCAAGACTCCTAATCGGTCCCTGGCTGGGCAACTTGCTATGAGGCCACAGTGACCTGCTTGCTGGTGAGGCCCTGGGTGAGCTTCAAGTACTCTGCGAGAGCACTGATGACCAGGGGCAGGTGGAGTAAGCATTGTCTTGGGGGATGGCCACCTATACTGGGACCTGAAGTCCGTCTGGCTCTAGCCTCCTGATTTCCTGTTGTCCCCTCCAGATGGGGTTAGGGACAGGAGGAAGTCCTGCCTAGCACAAGTGGTGGCCAGTTTGGTTCAGCCCACACCT